TTATTTGAGAGAGAGAAAGAGCAGGGGTGGGGTGGGCAGAGGGGCAGAGGTAGAAAGACAATCTCAAGCAGACTCCATGCTGAGCATCCAACCAGATGGTGGGGGTCAATTCCACAACCCCGAGATCACAACCTGAGATGAAACCAAGACTCGGATGCTCAACTGAGCCACCCGGGCACTCCCCCTATAGTCCATTTCAATTAGTGATTTCGTTGGGTATAAATCTATGATCCTGCTCTCTTTTCTCTGTTTGACTCATCTGTTAATTTTACTCCTTTTTCCTGCTTTCTTTTGGCTTATATTCTGTTCTCTATCTACTTTTTTTTTTTAGTGGTTACTGTAGAATTTACAATATTTATCACAGTATGCCTTCACATGATATTGTATATACTACCTCAACTACTACACTGACTGACGGCAAAGATGGTTTTTTTAAATAGATGTTATTGGGACCATTGGAAAGCTTGTTGGGAAATGTTAAACTCAGATCCTTCTCCCATACCACTGAAAAGGTAAAACTCCAAAAGAATCAGACATCTAAATATAAGAAATGAAGAATAAAATGAAAAAAATTGGTGAATTCTCTTTAACCTGATTATAAGTAAAGGCTTTCTGAATTTAACTAAAAATCTACATGCAATAAAAGTAAAGATACATGAATTTGACTACATGAAACTAAAAAAATTCTTTACATGGCAAAATACCCCATAAAGAGAGTCATAAGAATTGACAAATTAGGAGAAACTATTCACAGCATCTGTGATAGTTAAAGCTCTGATGTTTCTAAAATAAAAAGCTTTTTTTAAAAAAAGATTTTATTCATTTATTTGAGAGAGAGAGAGAGAGAGCAGAGAGCGAGCATGAGTGGGGGAGGGGAGAGGCCAAGGGAGAAGCAAACTCCCCGCTGAGCAGGGAACCTAATGTGGGGCTCCATCCCAGGACCCTGGGATCATGACCTGAGCCGAAGGCAGATGCTTAACTGACTGAACCACCCAGGTGCCTCAAACAGACTTTTAAAAATAGGAAAAGACCCAAAATCATATGGATTGCTGGTCAGCCAATTATGGTGTATGGGCTGGCATCCTGCTTTTGTAAATAACGTTTTATTGGGACATGGCCATGCCCATTCTTCCAATGTCGTCTTTGCCGCTTTCGTCCCAGAATTGCAGAGTAGGGTAGTTGCACCCAAGACTGTGCTCACTGCCCAGAATGTTTCCTATCCAGCCCTTTAAGAAAAGTTTGCCAACTCCTAGTATAGGAAAATGGGCAAAAAATAAGAACAGCCAGTTCATAAGAAGTTATAAAAATAGCTCTTGAACATCATGTTCAGCCTTTTTCATAATTGGGAATGCAAAAGAGTTAAACCTCTTTGGAAGAGAAATTGGTAAAATATACATAGGTACTTATATTTGGACCCAGCAGTGCCAATGTAGGAATTTACTCTGAACACACATTTCCAAAAGTAAGGAAATACATCATGTGCAAGGTAGTTCTTTGCAGCACTACTTAATAATTGCAAAATTTTGGAAACTCCCTACCTCTCCAAACCTCACAAACTGGTTGAATAAACCTAGTATAGTCTCACTATGGAGCACAATGCAGCTATCAAAAATGATGAGAAATCTCCTCATGCTTGGAAAGAGGTGTTTTTCCAGATGTTGATAAGTAGAAGAGCAAAAAGTAAGAGAGCAGTTATAATATGCCACCTTTTGTGTGAGAAACAAGGGAACATAATGAAGCATACATCTGTATAGAAGGAGCACTGGAAGGACAAACCAGAAAACACTGAAGTTGGTCGCCCCCAGAGGGGGGCGTGTGGGTGGGTAGAAGGAGTTCAGGAGGGAGTGACATTTCTTTGAGTTTGTCTTAATATAGTTTTGACTTTTAGAAGTTTGCTAATGTAATACAAAATTCAAAGCATAAACTTGAAGGATGGGAAGAGGAGGAAAACCCCTAAAACTGAAAGCAGGTGGAAGTCAACCCAGTCCTCTTCCCGTGAAGTACCATAGCCACATCTAAGGGGGTGATGAGAGGAGAGGGAGCTAAGTTATGAACACAGTGTTGGACTGCGCACCTGCAGTCTTGGACGAGGTTAGTGTGAACGGCAAAGAAATCTTGAAGTCTTGCTCGTAGGTTTGTGTGGGTAGAGCAACTTGGAGCTTATTTTATGTACATGATGGTATGGAGCAAAGGTATTAATGTTGTTGGGAGCCAGGGTTCTTACTGCAGAAGAAAGGATGTCCCAGTATGAATGGGAAAGGCAAGAAGAAGCCGTGGGGAAGATTAGGATTGGAAGTGTTGCTGTGTACTCAGGGTTCCTAAGATCTAAATATGTATCTGTTTGCACTGTCTGTGCACACCTGTGCAGTGAGGTCCAGGTGTGTGTGTGTGCATCCATGACTACACACACGTGTACATCCGTAGTACACTTCTCTAGCTCTGTATTCCACAAGTAGCACTGGCCACACTCAGTGGCCAGATCTCAGTCTTGAACATCTTTCCCACTCAGAAGGACCAGGGCTCCTTAGAGAGAAATAGCTAATTCCAGGGCTGGGGCAGGGTTAGCATAACATGACTCTGAAACATCTTATGACAGAATGTACAGCAGTGCTTTAAAAAAATGTACGGGCCGCGGGGGGAGCTGCCTGGGTGACTCAGTCGTTAAGCGTCTGCCTTCAGCTCAGGTCGTGATCCCAGGGTCCTGGGATCGAGCCCTGCACTGGGCTCCCTGCTCGGAGGGAAGCCTGCTTCTCCCTCTCCCACTCCCCCTGCTTGTGTTCCCTCTCTCGCTGTGTCTCTCTCTGTCAAATAAATAAAATCTTAAAAAAAACAAAATGATGGGGGCAGGTCACCAATCAATTTGCACAGGATCCCACTTGCTAAATGTGGGATAATTTGTGCATCAAAATAGTTAAGAACCATAATGCCTTTTTTAAAAAGATTTATTTATTTATTTGGGAGAGAGGGAGTGACAGTGACAGATAGTGGAGGGGAGGGGCAGAGGGAGAGAATCCCAAGCAGACTTCCCGCTGAGCATGGGGCCCAACCTGGGGCTTGATCTCACGACCCTGAGATCACAACCAGCTGCACCACCCAGGTGCCCCAGATCCATAATGCTTTATAACAATTGAGCAGTCACTGAGTCATTCTTAATGAATGATAGACAGACAGACAGATAACAGCATGCTGAGTGTCAACAGGTAAATTTAAATGGGGTGCTAATGTTGGAGAATAATTTTGCAACCATTGCAGTAAAAACTGCTTCTGACAAGAATGATCCGATGGCTACTAAAAGCAGGGAGAAGGTTCCATGAGGATTGGGATGTTTGTGTGGTCTTGAAGTGCCTCCTCACACACTGCATATTAGGTGCAGAAGAAAACATAGTGACAATGTAGTGTAGAAGCTGGGCAGCATTTTGGGTGAGGAAGATCTGTCTCCGTGAGGGTAGCTGGCCGTCCCATATATCTGGACGTGATATTCGGGTAATATTTCAACCTGGAGCGCAGCACAAATTGAATTATGAGAAAACCTCAAGCAAACTCAAAATGAGGTATGTTCTATTTATAAAAAAAAAAGAACTGTATTCTTTCAAAAGTCATTGTCATAAAGGATGAAGCAATGTTTCAGATCAAAGGAGACGAGACAGGTGATGACCCAGTACGGTGCTTGGTTCAGGAACGTGACGGGCTCCAAATTGGAGGACGGGGTGCTGCGGGAGGACATCGGTGCCGGCTGCCACACTTGCGCTTGGACGGCTAGCTGTGTCTGAGGCTCGGGGCCCTGCTCGTCTGTCCTCCACGGAAGTGCTGCCCACGGAGCCTGTGGCTTTCTTCCCACTGCGCTCACTTTAGAGCAGCCTCACCCTGGCGGCTGCTGTGGCTTCTGGGCGTGTGCGCATGTCCCTGCTTGTTTTCACCCAGCAGATGGGGAGCTGCCTTTCTGCTGACTCTACATCTCCCAAAACATTGTTTCTGGATAATTACTGCGGACACCGAAGAGCTTTTAGTGTATGTGGCTGAAATCTTTTGATACTTACTATGTTAGAAGTTAAAACTAAAGATTTAAAAAATATTTATTAATCCATTTAAAAATAGCAATAAGAAACTCATCACATCTTCACGTAAGTAGCAACATTTATGACAGAATTTCTAACGATTTGGCCGGAAGAATGGGCTTGTTTTCCACATTGCCTGTCTCCCTCGCCGCCGGCATGGTGGAGACACCTGGCCCCCGTGCCTCGTCCCCGATCAGTCTGTTGTGGCTCACGCTTCCTGGGGCCTCTGGAAGACTCGCCGTGCCCTGTGAGGAGGGAGGGAAGGGCAGTGACACCCCCATGTGGCCCCATGAGCCCCCTGAAAGGGTCTCTGGACCACTTTGAAGATCACGAGCTTAAAAAAAGTTCTAGTTCCCGGAAGGCCTTCAGTGAATATTTGTTGAATGAGTTAATGAGTTCCAAAATGACTGCACGGTGGGGCCAGTGCTTGGTTGGACTTATGAGCTCCAACCTGTGTGCACTGTTGGTCGCTGAACCCTGTCTCCATGTCCTGTCTCCGGAGGGTTGGCAAGCTCTGGCCTCAGCGCTCCTCTTTCATTGGCAGGTGTCCCTGTGAACAGCAGAGTGTCCTCCAAAATCCAGCAACTTCTCAACACCCTGAAGAGGCCGAAGCGCCCTCCGCTGAAGGAGTTCTTTGTGGATGATTTTGAGGAGCTGTTGGAAGGTGAGAGATCTCGGGCGGGCTCCCGTGTCAGTGTGAACAGGGTGGCTGTCCTGTTCATGTGTGTTATGTGACGTTACAACACAACCAAGTGACCCTCCGTCTGTTTCCAGCCCTGGGGTCACCGTGTGTCACGTTACATGAACAGGGAGAAAACGCGTCACTCCTGGTTAAGGGACTTAACATTTCTCTGTGCCTCTAATCCAGTGCTTAGTGCTTGATAAGAATACTGCTAAGGTTTCATTTTATTTACATTATTTAAATTTTTTTTAAAGTAGGCTCCATGCCCAACGTGGGGCTTGAACCCCTGACCCTGAGATTGAGAGTCACACGCTCCACCAACTGAGCCAGCCAGGCACCCCCATTATTTGAATTTTTATTTAAACTTTAAATCTGAAATACTTGTCTTCCCATGGTTTTAAAGTATATTTTTAGCATGGTTTTGGCCCTTTTTCAGAAATTTAGTCTCTCATTTATGAGTGAGATATACATTTAGGAAAAAAGAATATAGATCTATTTTTAAAAGAAAATTACCAGCAAGTAGAAAGAAGTATAAATCTGTAAGAAAGCAATAAAGTCTAGTACAAGGTGTGAGCGTGTAATTGTGTTCCAGCCGCAGGGGCGCATGGCTGGCTCAGCCCCTGCCCCCTCGTGCCTCTCCTGTGTCGTGTTGCTGCCCCACAGACCACTGCCAGGCATCTCCTCCTCACTGAGGGTTAGACACAACCCTTGGGTCATTGTTTTCCCCTTTATAATCAGATGACGCCTTTCAAATTCAGAGTTTGGTGGTAGAAATGGTCTTCGGGGAGTCTTTCTTACACTTGGGCCAATGCTGGTTACACAGCCACTGGAAATGTAATCGATTATCCTTTAGTTTTTTCTTTCAACATGGTGATGGTTGTTTTGAGTGCCCAAACTGAGATGGTGATTCTACTCACTTTCATCCTTGATAAGTGGGACTAGTGCCTTTCCCTCAGGTGTCATCATTGGCTGTCACCCCACGCACTACTGCCATTCTGGGGATTGGCCCATGGGGTCTGGAACAGTGTCCCACAGTTTCCATGACGAGTCTCCATCTGTCCTTTGGTCCATTGGTCTGGGACTATTATAATGATAAGGAAATCTAAACAAGTTATTGTAACCTTCTTACAGTTGGTATTTTTTTTTTTTTTAAGAATTTATTTGAGAGAGAGCAAGAGCTGTGAGAGAGAGACATCAGGAGCAGGGGGAGGGGCAGAGGGAGAAGCAGGTTTCCCACGGAGCAGGGAGCCCGATGCGGGGCTCCATCCCAGGACCCTGGGACCATGACCTGAGCTGAAGGCAGACACTCACCGACTGAGCCACCCAGGCACCCCTCTTATAGTTGGTATTTTTTAAGAGAAAGCTTAAAAACAGAATGTATGCATGGTCCTATGAAATGCTGATTTTTAAACTTCAATTTTGCTTACAGTGCAGCAACCAGATCCAAATCAGCCAAAGCCTGAGGGAAGCCAGATGGTGGTACTGAAAGGGGAACCTCTGGCTGTGGGGGTCCCCTGGCCCCCATCCCTGCTGGCCGCCCTGCAGCGGTGGGGTACGACGCAGCCCAAAGCCCCCTGTCTGACTGCCTTGGACACGGCTGGGAAGGCCTTCTACACCCTCACCTATGGCAAGTGTTAAAAGCAGTTGGGCTCTGGTTTAGCTGTAAAATGTTACATGTCATACAGCACAGACATACAGTTTCACGAACATGCTAGAACAGTTCCCAAGAGACCAACACAACTGTCAGAACAACAGAACATTGCCTCACTCCAGGTGCCCCTCCTGGACCACTGCCCCTTCCTCCCAGCAGCGGGGATTCCTCACTGACTGATGGCGACCAGCCACTGCTCTGGTGTCGAGGTTCACTTCCAAATACGCACCTCTGAACAATGGAATTTGGTTTTGTCTCATTTTGAACTTTGTATAAATGAAATCATACAGTGTGTATTTTTTTGTTTGGCATCTTTTGGTTCTGTATTATATTTTTATGTAACACAAATCATAAGCGTCTGGCTTGATGCATTTTCACGGAGTGAATGTGCTCCTCTAACTAGCACTCAGCTCTCGAGCATTTCCAGGTCCCTAGGCCCCTTGTGTCCCTTCCAGCACATACATCCTCACAATGATGGTTGAACTGTCCTGATGCTTGTGGACATTTCTGGCTCTCCCTGTCCAAGTTTTATGTAAATGGAATTAAGTGAAAGGTGTTGTGTGTGCATTCTTTTGTGCAGCATTGTTTAGGAGACTCAGCCATGATGTTGTATGAAACTCATTGATGGATGTGTTTATTGTATGAATATGCCAGGAATTACTTGCGTACTCTACAGTAGATGGACCTTTCCACTGGGGCTATTCTGTATAGTGCTGTTATGAACATTCTTAGGTGAGTCCGTTCGTGCTGGGCATAAATGTACATGTATGAGCAGCCGTGTTCGGCTTTAGGACACACTGTTACACCGTGTCCAGACTGTGTGTGCAGACTTACCGTTGTTCCACACCCTTGTCAACACTTGATCTTGTCTCTTTATTTCATTTTAGCCTTTCCTGTATGTGTTTTATGGTGTCATTTATGGTAGTAATTTATTTGCGTTTCTCTGATGCCTAGTGATACTTCTGTCTGTTTATTGGCTGTTTGAATACCCTCTTTTATGTACTATCCAGATCTTCGGCTTGTTTTTCTATTTGGTTGCTAATGTTTTCTTCTTTGTATGTTTCAGATACATGTCTTTTGTCAGACTTGTTTTGCAAAAGTCTTCTTCCACTCTGTGGACTGTCTTTTAACACTTTTATTTGCAGCTTTAGATAAATAAGAAGTCTTAATCTAATTAGTCTAATTTATCTATTTTTTTTCCCTTTATTTTAGCGGCTTTTTGTCCTGTTTGCCAAACCTAAGGTCACAAAGATATTCTTACTTTTTCTTCTGAAAACTTGCTTTACTCTTCATATTTAGGTGTCATGATTCATCTTCAGTTTAGTTTGTATGGTGTGACATTGGAATCATTTTCTTTCTTAGTGACTGTCTAATCGATCTAGTACCATCTACTGAAAAGGCAGCCCTTCCCCCAGGCATATCAGGTGAAAAGACACATGTGGGTCGGCGGCTGCCCTCATGCTCTTTTGTCTGTCCGTGCTCCCTGAACGCCTACAGCTTTCTGAGCCCTGATGTCTGGTATAGATGCCCTTCAGCTCTGTGATTGTGCCTTACAGTTTTCTTGACTATTCTTGGCTCTTTGCATTTCTAAGCCATCTTTTGAATCAGTTTGTTAATTTCCAGAAAGATTCCTGCTGGGATATTGATTGGCACTGCATTGATTCTGTAGTTAAAATGTGAAGAGAATTGGTACCATTACAGTTACGGAATCTTCCAATTCAGGACTGTGGAATATTTTCCCCTTATTTCAAGGCCCCCTTTAATTTCTCTCATTAATGTTTTATACTTTTGAGTACAGAACGCTTGAGCATCTTTCATTAGATTTATTCCTCTTGAAATGGAATGATTAAAAACTTTTTTCTGCTCATTTGTTGCTTGTATATAGAAGTGCAATTGATTTTTTAAATGGTGATTTTTTAAAAAAAGATTTTATTTATTTGAAAGAGAGAGAGCACAAGCAGGGGGAGGGGCAGGCAGAGGGAGAAGCAGACTCCCTGCTGGTGCAGGGAGCCTGATGTGGGGCTTGAACCCAGAACCCTGGGATCATGACCTGAACTGAAGGTGGATGCTTCGCCAACCGAGCCTCCCAGGTACCCCTAAATGGTGATTTTATATCTAATAATCTCATTAAATTAACTTACTAATTCTTTTTCTGTTTGTTAATTAGTAGTTTGTCCATATATCTTTTGGATATCCTATGTTCAAAGTCATGTCATCTGTGAACAAAGACACTGTTATTTTGGCTTTCCCAATACTTGTGTCTTTTACTTCTTTCTTGCCTCACTGAAGAGCTAGAACCCCAGTACAATGTTGGGTAGTGGGCATATGCTTGCTTGTCCATCTCCGGTGGAAAGCTTTGGGTCATGAAGTATGATTGCTATTTTGTGGTAGAAATTCTTCGTCAGATTATGGAAGTTCCCTTCTATCCCTAGTTTACTAGAAGTTTTGTTTTGTTTTGTTTTAACCATGGATGGCATTGAATTTGTAAAACACTTTTTCTGCTCTGTCAAGATGATCGTATCTTTCTCTCTCCTCCCCGCTTAATTTGATGAATTACATTGATTAATTTTCAAATGTTAAGCAGCCTTGGCACTCCTAGAATAAATCCCACTTCGCCATGATATCTTTTTAACAAATGTCTGAATTTGATTCAGCCAGTGTGTTGTTTAGGATCTTTGCATCTGTACTCATGAGAGCTCAATCTGTAATTCCTCAGAAAGGCGCTCACTGCCCGCTGTGGTCTGCTCACAGCTCCCACCTGTTGAATTGAGGTTTCTCTCTCTCTCGTCCTTCTGGGACTTTGATTATACTTACACCTTTTTTGAATCCCATATAACTTTAATGTTCTTTTTTCTATTTTGTTTTCTTTTCTATGTATTTGGTTGACCCTTGAACAATACAGGGGTTAGGGGTGCTGACCCCTGCACAGTTGGAAACCCAAGTATAAGTTTTGACTCCCCCCATAACTTAACTACTACTAGTCTGCTGCTGACCAGAAGGCTTACTGATTAACATAAACAGTTGATAACACTTATTTTATATGTTGTTTTTATTATATATTGTATTCACACAATAAAGTTAGCTAGAGAAAAGAAAATGTTATTAACAAAATCTTAAGGAAGAGAAAATACATTTATAGTATTTATCAAAAAAAAATCCACAGGTAAGTGGACCTGGGTTATTCGAGGGTCGTCTGTACTTCAGTTTGGAGATTTTTAAATTTTCCTTTATTCAAATTCTCTAATCCTGTCTTCTGTGAAATTTTTATTCTATTATGAAATTCCTGATGAGTTCTTAATTTTGATATTGTCTTTTTAGTTTAGGATTTTCACTTCTGCATTCTAATTCCTATTCTAATTTTCTAGGAAAATCCTTTATCATTCCATGCATTGTCTTCATCCTTTCCTTTATTTCCCAGAATCCATACATCCCTTACCATGATGGAAAGTTTCTGTCAGCCAGCTCCAGGTCAGGTCACCTCTGGGCCTGTTGCTGTTGTCTGTACTTTCTCTTGGTTTTAGTTTGGGGAATTTAACTTTGGGATGCCTGGTACCTTTTTGATTAAATGTTGGACATTGTGTGTAAAAAGTTATGGAGGTTCCAGAGGAGGTTCCAGATGATGTCCCCTCCACGAGAGACGTTCCTCCTTCACTCCGCGTGGCAGGTAGCTTGGTGGCCTGTCTCT